GATGCTGTAAATTCTACTGATGTTCCTAACCGGAAATATACGAAAGCCGGCCCAAGGAGTGTGTTGCGTGACGGAAACTAATACAGCTACGAGGATACTAATCTGCAGGACCCTTATTAATGAATCCTTTCCTACACTTTAGCCTCGTTCGACATATCTTCTGAATKTTACAGTTATCTTTGATGTGAGCGTAGTGAGACAAAAATCGCTGTAGCCCACAGAATGTGCGCCCATGACAAGCAGGGATAGGTACAGCGGCCTCATTGACTAGCAACTGGATCTTTAGGTCAGATACAACCAAGGGCTTCTTGCCTTGACAATGATCTAATTTAACAAACAAAAATGCATGTTAATAAGTCCCTTTTGGCCATTCCTAATTATTTAAGCCTTTGTGGTTCGACAAGTGCCATCGATAAGTCGATAAATTTACAGAGTTTGTAAATATTATGTATTAAATACACTGTAAATATACTGTAAATTCAATTATACTTCCATCAATACAAATTGATGTCGATAGTTGATATAATCATATATAGCAAACACGGTCCAACAATTTTTGTATTGCTCCCTGAAGTCGCTAAATATGACTCGTATAAAATATAAAATTATACAATGATACATACAAATGGATGGCGATAGTTGATATAATAATATATAGCAAACACCAACAATTTTTAGATTGCTCTCTGACGCCGTTTAGATATGACTCGTATATGATATAAAACTATACAATGATCATCCATACCTTGGCAACTGTTAGCATTACTACTTCTGTTCGTGGCTTTCCCTTTGCATGTATACAGAACAAAGGCTACATTAGCCCCCATTGGAACGACGTTAGATATACGAAACTTCCGGTTCTTTTGCCTTACAAAATTATCCGCACGGGGAGGTACAGTATCGTTGTATAATCCAAGCATAGTGAAAAGTGGAATCACAGTCCCAGTATGAGCAAATCGAAAAACACCGTGTGGTTTCCCTTTCTGGATAAATCTTTGAAAGCTATTTATAATCTCAGTATATAGCGCACAGCCCATCTTGAAGTTTATCTTTCGACCGTAGCTGCGGTCCCAGTAGAGCTTCAAATCTTGAAGATATTCCAGTACCTTTAGGTCGCTCTCTTCAAAAATCTYACACCAGCTCCCATCGGCACTGTCGGCTTGCACCCCGAAGGCACACATGAGGAAGATATCCACGACCATCTTTGGGCGAAGAAGGAATTTCTTGCCTAGTTTCAATCTTTTAGAAATTTTACGTATAACCTTTCGCATTTCTGGGCCATTTATGAATTTTGAATGCTCTGAGCGTGCGCGCTCCTTTCTAGTGATTCGCTGCCATTTGGGACAAGACTCGAATATTCTTAAGGTATAGTCGTTGTTGTATTCCCCCGACGATTTCACGGCTATTGGTTGGTATTTGGAGGAACCAAGATGTCCTTTTCCATCAAAAAGCCCTTGCGCAAAAGCGGTAGCACTTTGACTCGACCTCAGCTTGTCGGTAGCAACAAAACCGTAGTTCGTGTTGGAATACCCATGCCTCAAGACGCMAGGAAAATGAGCAAGGAAGCGCTGAGCAATCGAGTACATCTCCTGCGAACCTAATCTAGACATTTCTTTACTTTCGGAGTCAAGTACGTCTTTTGGTATAGTCCAAGGCAGTGAAAGGCCCTTGTATCGAAAAGTTGAGTTGGGTGGGTAGAGTGTGTTTAACTTTTTCAACAAAGATTTCATCTTTTTGACTTGTAGTTTTCCGGGATAACGAGATCCGTGTCGTATCACCATACTAATGTGAACTGGGTCACAATTAGGTGGTTTTTGGATGGTTTTTCGGCTGTAATGGTACGGTGTTTTGTCGCTGAATAGGAACTTTTTTGGCGTTTTCGATGTTGAGCTTATTTGCAAAAGGACAAGGAGAAATAGCGCTGAAATTCCAACAGATATGGCTGCCATTTTGAGCACTTGTCTTGAAGTGATCTTATACCTTATTTATAACTACTGGATTAAATTTCATGGCCCATATCCATATCGCTTTCAAAGGTTAACTCCACAGGAAACCCAAGTTTATTTGCGTGTACGGAAAATTGATCCCAGATCAAATTACAAGATCCTCCAAAATCGAGTGATCCTCTTGACTTTWTAAAGCTTATCCATGCAATAAAAAATAACTATGCAAACACAATTTGAGGTGTTCCAAAGTCCCATTTCTGTCACTCTACTCGAGGCAGCGGCGAAAGATCGTCTTCTAAAGTGATGCATCTTTTGAAAGTCTATTATCCTTCACGAGCTTGCAAGTAAGGTTTCTTGTGATTGGAGGAACAAAACAATGCTCATCGTTTCCTCGTTATTGCTGTTTTCTTTGATTTCATAGTTATTAAGCCACTCGGGTGAGGTCTTGCAAAGCCCCGAAGGGCTAGAGTGATGGCACTTTAACCGTGCAACTGTACAAACTAAATAGTTCTATTTAGATGTATTATAGTAGATCGTGCATGCGGTACGAAAATTGAATTGAATTGATACAAATGAAGCATTCAATACCGTCTTGCTTCATGTCCACTTTTAGTACAAATTAATACACTACTTAGATTTTTTACAGTTGCACGCTTTAGGTGCGATCACTTTACCTTTGAAAGTTAATCCAAGTTTTGTTAAGCCTTTCTAGTTGGTATTTATAACACTTAGAATTATTTAACACAACTCATTTCTTGATTTAATCTTTATTTGACACTCCACCTCCAAGTACAATAACTTAGAAAAACTAACTGAAAAACTAATAATAAAACATACTAAAATACAACGAAAATAGTATAGATACAAAATAAAACGACGTATGAATTACGAATATATGAATACATGCAGAGAATCAATCTTAAATCACTCTGGAAATAGGGTTATCTTAAAAAATTTCAACATTTACTATATTTTTCATACTATCCTACATTGCAACTTGATTTTCAGCGGAGAACTGAGTACTATACTTCAAAAAGAGTATAGGACCCAGGCCCCGGTAAAAAATCAGATTAAAACTATCCTAATTTAGAAGTTACCTAATATGGTCATAAGACATGCCCTTATATGGAATGCAAAGGTTGGTTCCCTTATATGGGCAATATATTAAAACTCAGTCACACGAGAATTCTTGAAACTCGTTCTGCTTTTTATCCTATTCACACTGATCAATTCCAATTCAAACAAATAAAACTGAGCTAAAAAGTAAAGAATATCTGAAAAAAGTCCTAATTAACAGTTAAAATATCAATCTAACTTGCGTTCAAAAAAAACATGTTGGGTTTCCTGTGGTTCAGACGTGATACGCCATTCAACCAATAGCGTCATTTTCATATAGTAAACTAGTTATATCTTTAAAAAAAGTTATGACGCAGACTTTCTGGTCTTGCGCAATGGGCTTATACCGGGAGTTGTTCTGCGCGAGGAGCCGATTGGTTTCCTGAGGGGAGAGGCAGGAGTACTCGTGATTCGTGTTGGCGAAGATTTCGTGACGCGTGACGGGGAGGCATAGCTGCCATCAACCAGGGACTCTTCAAGCTTCTGTGACTCACGGTCCAGTACGGTGGGTTCATATAGCGTGTCACGTGCTACTGTGTTCAGGGAATCTTCAAGCTTATTGCGCAGGTCTTTGATTTCGTCGGATTTCTGAGCTGTGCGAGTTAGGTACGATTGTTTCTTTTGCAGTTCTTTGGAAAGTTGGTCTTTGAGCGTTGAAACCTGAGAAAAATATTTTAAATCGATTAGAAATCATTGTGGTGATCGATATCGATATTTCTCATTTCTTTCATATTCTTTGCTTTCACATTACGGAAATTATACCTATTTCAAAAAAGGTTGTCGGAATGAAATGTCAATTGTCGAGTGGCGATTGAATGACCGAAAGTAGCGATGGGTTTTGGTAACTGGTGAAAAATATCAACTGATTTGTACTGTAAGTCTGCGATTTAGCATTGACTACATTTAGTCACCATTTCTATTATACAAGGTGAATCATGTAAGTAAAATTTTGTTTATAAAAACAGTCTGACCAGTCGTGCATTCTCCCTTCGATGATCGTCGTTCGCCGTTCTCTCCGACAACGCTTTTTGAAATAGGTGTATGTACAAAGACAAACAAACAAACAAACATCACCTGTTCTTCGAGTCCTTTGATACGTTGTTTATGAGCTCTTTCTCTGGCGACTTGAGTCTTCTCAATCTGTGTTTGCGATTGTCTTGAACGCTCCGATTCGACTTCCATTTCCTGTCGGTGTCTTGAGGTTATATCCACGAGTTTCCTAGCGTGGTCTTGCTCAGTGTCGGCAAACTGTTGGTTGAGTGCATTGAGCTGGCGCTGAAGTTCTTGGTTTTCTTGTTCATACGATGCAGCTGAACGATCCAAACGTTCTCGCTCGTCACGAAGTCTTGAGTTGACTTCATCACCCTCAAGCTTCTCCCTTTCAATCTGGAACCAACAATTGAAATTAAGATTAACTCTGTATTCATAAACCTCAAATCAATCGGCAATTGAAA